CCTCCCAGCCATGCTGTTCTCATCAGACAGCCACTGATGGCAAACACATATGTGTCACACCCCCCTGGTGGGGGTTGTACCCTTCTTTCAGGTCGCCCGTGGCTGGGATGGAGCCACAAGACTGTAACAGCTCCTAGATGTAGGGGCCCTGTTGTTATGGACACAGCCCTCGCACAAATTACCAGCCTTCCTACACCATAGCACCCAGCAAGCCCTCCCAACAAGCTCTGCTCATCATACCTCTGGTATGTTCTTATTGGCCTAAAATCTGTCCCTCCCTTGCTACTTCTTCCTGCCCCAAGGCGCCTTGGGAGCACTGGTAATACCATTGGGGGTGGTGCATTGTTCTGTTTTGGACTAGGGATCTAACCAACTAGTTGACTATCTGATAAGCAGAAGCTTATTGGATAGTCAACTAGTGATGCAACTAGTCTCTCCCCCCCTCCCTTTGAATCAGAGAGCGGCAGCAAGGGTTGGGGAGCAGGAGCCAGTACTGGGGGGGAATTGGTTTAAAAGCTGGTTCCCCCCAGCACAGTCTCCATGGCGGGAGGAGCAGGGCGGAGCCAGGAACTGGCATTGTGTTCGCTTTTGAAATGTACAAGAGGGGCTTTTGTATATGTCAAAAGCAGAGGCCCCACAGGGAGCGCGGGGTTATCCGGAGACTCCCCTGCTAGCCCTATGCTCCCTGCGGGGCTTTCTTTTGAAATTTCAAAGGCTGAGGTGCTGCACGGAGCTGGGGACTCCCCGCTGGCCCTGCATTCCCTGCGCTGCTTCAGCTTTTGAAATGTACAAGAGCCCCACTGAGGGGCTTACTACAATTCAAAGGTGGAGGTACCCTTATAGATTAATCAAAATCCGGAGACTCCCCTGCTAGCCCTATGCTCCCTGCGGGGCTTTCTTTTGAAATTTCAAAGGCTGAGGTGCTGCACGGAGCTGGGGACTCCCCGCTGGCCCTGCATTCCCTGCGCTGCTTCAGCTTTTGAAATGTACAAGAGCCCCACTGAGGGGCTTACTACAATTCAAAGGTGGAGGTACCCTTATAGATTAATCAAATAGTCGATGGAAACCACATTGACTATTTGATTAGTTAGTTAATCTAAATTTAACATCCCTATTTTGGACCTGGTGCTTTTCTAGCCTGCCAGCTGTCATGAACAATCCAGGGCTCTGGAAGGTCACTGCCACTGGGTTTCCCTCTCCTTTGCGAGGTTCCCTCTTTCCCCTCCTCATCTAGGCAGCCATGCTGAGTATTAGTTGGAGCTTGAGCTGTACTCTCTACCTCCCTTCTGTTTCTGGTGCAGTCTCATCTTGGAGTTGCCATGAAAGTAATTACTTGCAGCTTTCGGTGTCTGTGTCCCAAGGGAAATAAAGAAGCTGGGGAGGCTTCCCCATGGTTCCCATCCTGAGGTGAAACGGGGCAGATTTGTCGCAGCTTCTGGTGGCCACTGCCCTTTGCGCAGGGTTGAGATGGGCTGGGCTGCAGCAGCCACTTGCTTTTCTTGGCCCAGCCAGTGAGCAGTGAAACCCTGCTCTCTGCCAGGGCTGCTCAGGGTCCTCCCACTGCTGTGTTAACTCTGGAACCTATTGGCCATTGTGTGAGCCACTGATCCAGCCCCACGTTCGGGGAGGGGCATTTGCAATGAGAAAAGCTGCTGCTGTCTTGGTGTCATGAGTGGGTGGAGTTTAGATAGCTGCCCATCTTCTCCCAGGCCTGATGGAGGGTTTCTAGGGCTGCCTGATGCATACAAACGTGGGTGCTATGTTCCTGTGTGCGTGGTGCTGGCTGGAGGATTCACTCTCCTCAGTGGTTCCTGATATAACCTCGGGTACAAACCACTGTAGCTCTAGCTGTCTTAGGAAATGGTGTGTGAATGTGTATTAAGAGATGTAAAATTCTGTTTAATTAGTTAACTGGCGAATGTTATGTTTAACTAGTTAACCAATTAAATGGGGTAGGGCAGAGTCTGCTCTGGTTGGGCTGGAGCAGCCCCCCCCCCCCCCCAGGGTGCTGTTCCAGGCCCCACTAGTTAATCTTTCACATCCCTCCTTCTGTTTGTGTTTCCTCATAATTGTTACCCACGTTGCAGCAGTATGGACGATTTCAAGGGTGTCATCCCCTTGATTTTAAACCTTTGATTAAAAGTAGTTTTTAGAAGTAGAAGTACACTTGCCTTATTTTCTTGTCTGTATAAAACAAACATGTGTATATATACACAAACAAAACCACCCCCCAAACCTTTTCTTCCCCTGTTGCTATGTGAAAAACTCACACAAACAAAAAGGAAGACTGAGTATCTATATAGGAAAGCCAGTAAAACACCTTGGCTGTGTCTACACTGGCATTATTTTGTGCAAATACTTTTAACAGAAAAGTTTTCCATTAAAAGTATTTGTGCAAGAGAGCGTCTATACTGGCATGTGCCTTTGCGCAAAAGATTTGCTTTTGCGCAAAAGCATCCGTGCCAGTGTAGACACTCACTTGCGCAAGAAAGCTCTGATGGTCATTTTAGCCATCGGGCTTTCTTGCCCAAGAAATTGATGTTACCTGTCTACACTGGCCTCTTGCGCAAGAATACTTGTGCAAGAGGACTTCTCCCTGAGCGGGAGTGTCAGAGTATTTGCGCAAGAAGCACTGATTTCATACAGTAGAACATCAGTGTTCTTGCACAAATACTCGCGGCCAGTGTAGCTGCTTTTGCGCAAAATCTTGCCAATGTAGACACAGCCCTTATATACAAACTGAAAAGGAAATGTTTCTGCTCTTCTAGTTACAATGCATTTGAGTTTCTCTGATAGCAAAAATCGGTAAGATTTTAGTGAGAAGTATGCTTTTTTTAGTTGATATCCCTTTAATTCAGTAATGATTGGAAAGTGCATTTGTGATCTGTATGATTTCAGTTACAGATGTGTGTTACAAACTAATAAACTGCAGTGTTCATGAATATGCTAATTTCTTCAGTTGAAAAGCTATTTATTATCCTAAATTTAAAAAAAAAACTTATTTAAGTTTACTTAGTATGCTATCAGCACAGATTATGCTCTTGGCACTTTACAAATAATGAAAGCTCTGCATGTATCAGCATTCTAGTAGTACAGGCAGTCCCCGGGTTACGTACAAGATAGGGACTGTAGGTTTGTTCTTAAGTTGAATCTGTATGTAAGTCGGAACTGGCGTCCAGATTCAGCCGCTGCTGAAACTGACCAACAATGTCATCCCCTGCCCGGCTACGATTAAGTTGTTTAAACAAATGTGTTGCAATGGTAGAAAAAAAATGTCTGTGTCTGAAAACTTGTAGGTTCTGGGGGTACTTATAATGTTTTTTTTTAAGGGGTACTTTATAAAAAAAGGTTGAGAAACACTGGCATACGTACATACCGAACTGGGAGTGTTACATCAATGCTAATGAGGCTAATTCAATCCAGGTAAGCATGGCCCACTTCCAACAGCTGATAAGAAGATGAGCATACCTAAGGGAAAATTACCTATTGTAATGAACTAGCTGCTCCCAGTCCCAAGTCAGACCCATCCTGATGGTGTCAAGTCAGCCTATGAATTACTTCAAGAATAGTTTTTATATAGCAGGGGTTGCCTTCATATCTGGTATTGGCTGAATTTCACCTCCTCTTTGTCCATTGACAGGCAGGGCTGGATTAGCCAGTAGGCACAATAGGCACAGTGTCTAGGGCCTACAAAAATGGTTAGGGCCTACGAAAAAATGTAGGGCCTAAAAAATTCATAATTCACTGGAAAATCAGAAAAGAACACTGCTAAACCAAACTTAATAATTCGCTATCTTTGGTCAACAAACAACATACAGGTTTAACATACATTTAACTACAGGCAGTCCCCGGGTTACGTACAAGATAGTGACTGCAGACTGGGGGGGGGGCAAAGCAGAGCAAAGCAGAGCCAAGCCGCGGAGCACGTGGGCAGCGGACAGCCCTGTCCGCTGCCCGCGTGTTCCGCCGCTTTGCTTCCTCTCCCTGGTCTGCTGGAGACCAGGGAGAGGAAGGGCCCCGTTTGTAACTGCGGATCCGACATAAGTCGGATCCGCGTAACTCGGGGACTGCCTGTACTTACAGAAAGCAAATGTTTAGACAGCAATGTAGAGCATTTTGTATACTGACTTACCCTGAAATATACTGCAAGTATCATTGTTTGCAATTTTTAAAATAAAAGCCCTTATTTAAAGATTGTATATAGCATGTTTATCAGTTGAGGCTTGCTGTGCTAACTGTTGCTTTTTTCTTTTTGCAGGTGCCTCATCCATAGCTTGCAAACCTGCAGGCAATGATGTAGGCTGCATTTTTATTTACAAAAATTGCGGAACACTTCTTAACTAGACGGAACTTTTTAGTATCATTCAATGCCGAACATTGCAGAAAGTGAAAGGGAGAATGGTTCTGGACATGTTGAAGACAGACCTGAAAAAAAATCTCCAGAAGCGGCTCTTCATGATGACGTAAAGCCATATTGTACTTCTGGTACCTCCCCTGTGTCACTGGCTCCTTCTGGAGATGGGCATTATCCCTGGGGATGTCCTGTGACTCACACCCGGGAAAAAATTTATACTATCTGTTCAGACTATGCTTTTTTAAACCAGGTAACGTCTGTTTGTAGAAGTCCAAGTGCTACAGTTAATGCCTGCCTACAAGATAGTGCTGCCTTAAATGTTGGAAATAATACACCTAACTTTACTGGTATTCGAGATGGTGCTTCAGAGATAATCTACAATGAAGACACTAACTTGGAAAATTTATCTAGTAGTCTTGGAAAGCTTCCACTGGCATGGGAAATTGACAAAACAGAGTTCAATGGAGTGGCCCCAAAGCTGAAAAACAGAACAGGTATGACATTACAGCAATGAACTATTCAGAAAAATGCTGCCTGGGTGACGTGGACGGCCAATGCAACCCCTCCCATACGTGCATGCCATTTCTGTTGTAGAAATAGTCTTTGTGGTGGCCTCACAGATGCTGGCTGGGGTGGGCTAGGATAGGAGTGGGTCAGGCCAGAAGAGTAGTGGCCACAGTGTATCCAACCTTGTGACTCTTGCTTCCTTACTCTACGTGTGCTTTCCTGTACAACACAATAGTTTATGAGTGATATGGCATACATTTTCAAGCTGTAGAACTAATACAAGGTGGTATAAATCTTATATGCTCATATAATTCAGCCTATTTTCCACCTAAGGAGGAGGGGAAAATGAATATTATTGTGTTCTCTCCATATTGAATTTTTGTGTTGGCTCACCAGTCAAGTTCTCAAGTATCTTAAAGATCATAAAACAGTCTTTGCATCTATCTAATCTATCTAATCTATCTAATCTATCTATATCGGCTTTGACTATATGCATACATAAAGTGCTCTTTTGAAAGAGAAGATGTATGGATAATGTGTATTTTACAGGTATGGTTTCACTGCTGAAACATATTTCACTGTGGTTCAAAAATATGTAATTGCAAAACAAGATGGAAAATAGTCCCCCTCACCTATTTTTGTTGTTGTTGTTGTTGTTCTTCCTATATAGTGACTTGCAATAAGGGAAAGTTGCTGGGGATATATTTCCGCTCTTCATAGCCTTAGGTGCAAATTAGTAATAGAAAGATTAGATGTATGATTTTACATTAGTGTCAGTGGTCTGCTCTCCCTCTAGTGCACCAAGTGAAAAAGTCATTAAAAGCCACCAATTCCTGGGATGGCTGGGGTAAGAAAGTCCATTCAGTTGATAGAGCAGTGGTCTCCAGCCTTTCTGAGATCACTTTTTTAATTTAAATGCAATCCGGGATCCACCTCAAACCCAAATAACCTTTCCCTGTCTCCTTCCTGCCCCACTCCTGCTCACACCATTCTTCCTCCCTCCCCCATCCTCACTCACTTTTATCAGACTGAGGGAAGAGGGCTAGGGTTTGGGGCAAGGGGATGCAGACTCTGATCTTGGGCTAAAAGTGCAGGAGGGGGTTGAGGGAATAGGCTCTAGGAGGGAGTTTGGGTGCAGGGGGACTCAGGGCTAGGGTAATGGTTTTGGGTGCAGGAGGGGTTGAGGACTGGGGATGCGGTTTGGAATGCAGGCTCCAGCTGGGCACCGCTTACCACAGGTGGCTTCTGGGTGGTGCTGCAGGGGACTAAGGCAGGCTCAACCCTACTCTGGCCCTCTACCACTCCCAGAAGCACCCAGCAAACTCTCTCCATCCCTGCCCTCTCCCACTCTGTGGAGATGGGATACAGGGTGAGGGGAGGGGCACCCTGATATTAGCATCTCCTCCTCTTCTTCCTGTGCCCTGCACAGCAAGCAGGAGGCTCCTGGGGGTGGTGGGGCAGCTCCAAGGCAGAGGGCAGGAACAACGTGGCAGTGCTGAGAGGGGCACATGAAGTGTCAGCACTTGACAGCCTCCTGGCCAAACCTGCCAGGATCACCTGTCAAAGGCTTCAGGATCTACCAGTAGATCCCGATCTATTGGTTGGTGACCACTGTAATAGAGAATAGAAATAGTGTTCAGTAAAATATACTATTGTGTAATATTATATACCAGTTTACTCGCTCTTCCCAAAACTGTGCCAGTTCACAGGCTAACTTTTCCTTTCTCCCTCCTCCCCCTTGTTGCCTCTGTATCAGAGGCAGAAAGGGTGGGGAGCGGGAGCTGACTTAAAAGCTTATTTCTCCCAGCACCATCTCTGTGGTGGCAGAGGCAACAGCGTGGGGCTTAGCCTTACTGCAGGCAGAGACTGGTCCACATCCCACGAAGCAGCACCTGTCCACAGGGGGCCTCAGCTCCCGGCTGCCCACCTTCCTCCCCCGCAAAGCAGGCCCTGTCCACGGAGGCCTGGGCTGGCCATGAACAGAAGCTGCTCCTGCAGCAGCCCTTGTCTGCAAGGGGTTCCAGCTCCCCTCTGTGTCTGTAGATGGGGCTGCTGGACCCGGCGCAAGTGGGGAGTGAGCAAGCCTGGCTTGGTCCTGGCTTGTGCGGGTCCAGGAGCTACCCCAGTTTAAATGTAGTAAGAGCCGGGCGGGCAAGCAGTGGGGAAAGTTCCCGGACCTGGCACAAGCCAGGGCTGAGTGCCTTCCTTTATTGACTAATAGGGTAGTCGATACAAATTTTATCAACTACACAATTAGCGAAAATACCCACTTCTTAACATCCCTTAATCACAGGGGTGATTACACTTCTAGCCATGCAGCATATTGTCTTTTTGTTAGCAGTACACTGAATGCCTACTGGAAGGGCATTCTGGTGGAAATATTTAGCTCGAATATTAAATATTTGTTAACTGCTTCTAAAATTTATCTTGTAGGCAACATGAAAAAACAAGTAATAAAGAAAAAATCTCTGGACAAAAAAAGCAAACAGTACCGGGAGTGTTCTCAGCATTCCATTGTTGAAGACATAAAGCAGCGGAAAGTGCTTGACATCAGAAGATGGTATTATTTAAAAGTCCTAATTAAGACTACCACAGTATGCAGAACTTGTTTGTAAATGCATGCTGTCTGACTTATTTTAAACTTTAATGTGTAAGAGTTTTTATTTAATCGAATTGAAGGGTATATGGGATCGGTTAAAAATAGTTACTGAACTAGACCTGATATTACAAGAGGGCCTGGGATGTATAGTAACTTTATGTTTTTTCTTATTGTTGAAAGCCCAGAAGCATGAGCAAGCAATGTGTAAATTTACTCACATGTACAGGTGTACTTTAACTAACATTCTGCCCTTGTGATTGGAGCTACTTGATTAAAATTTGCAGTCATATAGAACTGTGAATGTACTGCAGAATGTTCGCTGAGAACTGGGTTGAAGCCACCAATCTAATTTTAACCCTTCAAAAAGTTTCTATGTTATGGGAAATGAAGTTTAGTACTAGGAACCTGTGATGTAAAATTGTCTCCGTTGGTGAAGTTCGAAAAGGTTGCAATTTAGAAAGGAACTGAAGTATTAGGAAGCTATTGATTTGAAAGGCTGTCGGGCCAAGATATTACTACAGGGATACTCATCATCTTTTCCACAATATCATTAATGTAAATTTGACTTATTTCATTTCTGCCCCAAAATTGTTAAAATAGTTATTAGGCCCTTGTAAATTGAGTTGGTGGTCTCCGCACAGATCTTGATGGAGTGGGATTGATATCACCACTTAGCTTTAGAAGTGATAAGCAAACGAATGTGTGTGAGACTGGTGTTTGTGAAATGTGTCAGATTTCCATTTCGTTCACTTTTTTTCTGGGTGACGTCTCATGAAAGAGAAATTGGCATATTTATTACAGATATTTTAATTCACATATGGATATTGAGTCTTACTAGTGACTTATTGTAAAGACAAGGTGAGACAAAATACTTTTAAAAAAATACTATTTAACCTTTGGGTAAATTGTCGCAAAAGAAAATGTAATAAACTGCATATATCTAAATAAAATTTTACTCTCTCCCCTCAGGTACTGTATTAGCCGACCACAATACAAGACTTCCTGTGGAATTTCCTCTCTAGTGTCTTGCTGGAATTACTTATATAGCACACTTGGAACAGGAAAGTAAGTCATTTCTATTCCATTTCAAAGTCATGGGACCTAAAATAGCTATCTAAATACTCTGTTAATTGTGATTATTAACTTAATTTTCAGTCTACCACCTATTACTCAAGAAGAAGCCTTGCATATTTTGGGCTTTCAACCCCCATTTGAGGAAATTAGATTTGGTCCCTTCACTGGAAATACTACTTTAATGAGGTACAATTTGTTTTCTTGATATAACTGAAATGTTAATATATAGAATAATTTTCTAATACTAAAAATAATTAACACTCTTAAAAAACCAATAATATACTCAAACTCAGTGTGTTTTATTTTGGATTTCTGAAAACATTATGAACAATTATCAGAGGGGTAGCCGTGTTCTTGGAGCAGAAGCTTTCATGGGCAAAGACCCATTCATCAGATGTATGTAGTGGAAATTCCAGAGGCAGGTATAAATATACAGGCATAAGAAAAGAGTTCCAATCAAGAGTAAGGCTAGAGTTAAGGAGGTCAATTCAGTCAGGGAGGATGAGGCCCACTTTTAACAGCTGATGTGGAGTAACTTCCACTCTGGAACCAATCCCTGCAATAAACCTCAGTGCCAACTCTGCCCCCATATCTACACCAGAGACACCATCACAGGACCTAACCACATCAGCCACATCATTACAGGCTCATTCACCTGCACATCTACCAATATAATATATGCAATCATGTGCCAGCAATGCCCCTCTGCCATATGCATCGGCCAAACTGGACAGTCCCTATGTAAAAGAATAAATGGACACAAATCAGGAATGGCAATGCACAAAAACCTGTAGGAGAACACTTCAATCTCCCTGGACACACAGTAGCAGATTTAAAAGTAGCCGTCCTGCAACAAAAAAACTTCAAGAACTTCAAAGAGAAACTGCAGACCTACAATTCATCTGCAAATGTGATACTCTCAGTTTACGATTAAACAAAGACTGTGAATGGCTAGCCAACTACAAAAGTAGTTTCTCCTCTCTTGGGCTATGTCTAGACTGCAGGCCTCTTTCGAAAGAGAGCGTCTAGACTGCACGGAGAAATTTCGAAAAAGCGGCTTGCTTTTTCGAAAGAAAGCATCCAGTGAGTCTGGATGCTCTCTTTCGAAGAAGCCCTATTTACATTGAAGAACGCCTTCTTTCGAAAGAGGAACTTTCGAAAGAAGGCGTTCTTCCTCGTAAATTGAGGTTTACCGCCATCGAAAGAAAAGCCGCGTTCTTTCGAATTAATTTCGAAAGAACGCGGCTTGAGTCTGGACGCAGGGGAAGTTTTTTCGAAAAAAGGCTACTTTTTTCGAAAAAACCCCTGAGTCTGGACACAGCCTTGGTGTTCATACCTCCACATCAGCTGCTAGACGTGGGCCTCATCCTCCCTGACTGAATTGACCTCATTATCTCTAGCCTTATGCTTGATTGGAACTCTCTTCTTATGCCTATATATTTATACCTGCCTCTGGAATTTTTACTACATGCATCTGACAAAATGGGTCTTTGCCCACAAAAGCTTCTGCTCCAATAAATCTGTTAGCCTATAAGGTGCCACAGGACTTCTTGTTGTTCTATTATGAACAATGAAATCAATTTTAGTTTCCTTTAATAGTTTTTTTTTCTTGAGCTGTTTTTGGTGTCCTAGTATTTTTTGTTATGCTTCTAAGTTGATGGCTCTAGTTGCATTACTACTGCCTGTACTGTGAGCCTTCACTGGCAGGGTGACATGGAGCATCCAAAAATTAATATGGCAGGGAATACTCTTCTTTTAAAAAAAATCTGTAATTCACCTTTCATTTTAGATGCACATCAGTCTCTATGTCTGTTCTCCATATCCAATCAATCCTTTCCTTTTTTTAATACATCATCAAATATGTCAGATGTCATGATAGTTTTATGTGCAGACCTATTTAGAAACTGGAGTAAGACCTAATTAGCTGTATCTGAGAATAAGAACTTTGTTCAGTATGGATCTGTGTAGTATTTGAGCTGGTAAGATAAAGGTGAACAAGTTATATATCCATTATTAGACTTCTGGTGCTTCCAACTCTTTGTGATAAATTATTTATTACTTGTACTACTAGAGGACCTCACAACTCTAATTGAGACCAACCCACTATTGGGCAAAGTACTAAATAAATGCATGGGGAGATTGACCTTGCCCCAATGAGTTTATATTCTAAATCACTAAAAGAAGAGAAGATGGATGAAAGGAATTATAAATATTACAAACATATTTTCTTCAGTCTTTGTTTTTAAAATACCTAAATGTTTAAAACAAATCTTATTGTTTTTCAGATGGTTTAGACAAATTAATGATCATTTCCATGTTAAAGGATGTTCATATGTTCTGTATAAACCTCATGGGAAGAACAAGACAGCTGGAGAAACTGGTAAGTAGCTAAAATTAAACACTAATTTAGTGTGTAAGTTGGAAAACTGTAGTTGTAAATTTTTTTAGGATCAAGAGAACAATTTGTGTAACTGAAGTGCCAACTTAACATAGTTACAGGCAGAACAACAAATGGCTCTGAGTTGTATAGCTTTTTCTAATCTTCCTTTCCTCCCTCCATGTACTCAATTTTCCTTTCTTTTAACTAAAATAATATACCTCATATGTGATTACTGAGAAACAGCTGCACTCCTATGATGCTACAGGCATTTGGCTTCCCAGCCTGTGCATGGTTTCTCTCTCAAGATGTGAATTCACCTTCACAGCATATCCCTTCAACTGATATGTTTCAACACTTGGGAAGTCTTTTTTTTTTTTTTTTTGTATATAAATAAGCTAAAGCTCCAGTTGTCCGGCATCCAGTGGTCCGGCACAACCTCGAACCCAGAAGTACTCCAGGCAGCTGGACAATTGGAACTGCTCTGCCCCAGGCTTCCCCGAGTCAGCCACTGTCAGTTTCAGCAGCGGGTGCAGGGGCAGAGCAGCTGGGGTGCACTGCCCCAGGCTTCCCAGAGTCAGCCACTGGTCAGTTTCAGCAGCAGCTGACTTAGAAGTCTGGGGCAGAGCAGCTGGGGTGCTGCCGGGTTGGTCCTGCAGCGCCATCTCCCCCACCCCACCCTAGACCCCTCATAGCTCCTCCCCCCTTCCGATAGCCCGGCATATCTGATAATCCGGCACCCCCTGGGTCCTAAAGATGCTGGATTATCGGAAGTTTACTGTACTAGGGCTGTCAAGCAATCAAAAAAAAATAATTGTGATTAATCACGTGCACTGTCCCTTTGAAATGCTGCTGCAGCGTTTCAAAGGGGCAGCGCTGTGGAAGCTGGGATCAGCTGGAGTCCTCAGCTGACCCCAGGCTGAGTGCAGGTGTTTATGAATATATAAGCTGTATCATTCTCTAATTGAAGACTACTCTGCATATAAAAGTATGTAGCTGAACCTTTTAATTACATTTAAGGTAATAAAATGTCAAAGGGAAGAGAGCTAAGATGGAGGATGCACCATGCTGAAAAAGGAACTGGGAGATAGCTAGCAATCTCCACTGCTCTTGTGAGGGACAGTTTGCTAAATTCTATACCCAGGGAGTAGAAATAACATATTGTATCTCTGCTCTTTAAGGAGAGAAATAAGTTTTCCTTGTTTCAGTGCTCCTCTAGTCTCTCTCCTATCTGCAAGCACTATAGTTGGACTACAACACTCCTGCACTATCCACGCACTGCAAATCTGTGTCCTCATACACTCCAACCCAAAATCCTGCACCTCCATCCACAAGCTCAGCACCCCAACCCTCCACCTAACCCCAACATTCTCCAGTGTGGAGCCCCCTCCCTGAGCCAGCATCCCCTTCTCTACCACCTCCTGCACCCAAATTCCCTCCTAGAGCTTGCATCTTTCACCCCTTCCCACACCCAAATCCCTCATTCCCACCCCAGAGCCTGAACCTCCTGTTTCAACCCAGTGAGAGTGAGTAAGGGCTGGGGACAGCAAATGATGGAGAGGAGGGGAATGGACAGGGTGGGACCTCAAGGAAGGGGTGGGGTCTTGGGGAAGAGATGGGGTAGATCTTTGCTTGCCCGGACATTTAAAAAGTGAACTTGGGGGTAAAAAGGTTGGAGACCACTGGGTTAAGGAATATGTTGCGGTCAAGGTTCAGATTAGGGATATAATGTTATGTTTAACTGGTTAAATGGAGAGACTGGCAGGGAGAAGGGTTGCTTCGGCCTGGCTGGGTTGGGGTGGTTCCCCGTCGTGCCTCAGCCAGGTTGGAGTGCTCCTGCACACGGCGCACCCAGCCAGGCTAGAGCAGCTCCCTCTTTGTGGTGGGTGTGGGGCTAAGAATTACAGGTCTCTCTAAAATATACTTCTGTACTAATGCTGTATTAACTGGAGTCAGTGGAATTAAAGACAGTGGGTTTCCTCTGAATAGTTGTCAATATTCTTGCTTTTGTCAGTTTATATTTTAATGTAGCTTAAAACAAAAACAAGCCCTAAGTCTTTAATTAAGACTCTTGGAAAATGGAAAAAAACAACCCTTCACTTAGATCTAAATGACAAGTGTTTCAATTGTGTGCCATTTCTAGAGAAATAGTTCTTGTAACTGTTTCAGGGTAATATGTTTTTAGAGAATGGGATCTGAAAGAACAAACTAAAAATTAAATATATTTGTTTATTTTAAACCTTTCCTGTAAAGTATTATACTGCTGCTTGTGCACTGCGACAATAAATATAATATCAGCAGATGTAAGAGAAATAACTCAACTCTTCTGGTTCCTACTGAATGCAAGATTAAAAGTGTCTTTCTTTGTAGCTGCAGGGGCCTTGGTAAAGTTAACACAAGGATTGAAAGATGAGTCAATGGCTTATATCTATCATTGCCAAAATCATTATTTTTGTCCAATTGGATTCGAAGCTACCCCTGTAAAAGCTAATAAAGCATACAGGTAAGAATCTTTAATTATGCTTGCTCTTATGTGAATCTTCCATCAAAATGATGGCTACAGATGAGCATGGCATTTATATATGAATTGAAAGTGTTGTAGGGACAGAATGTTAGCATCTGAGTGGGAATGGAATGTCTCATTATTTTACAGATTTCCAGGTCTCCTGTTGATAGTCTCTGCAGCAAGTTTTGGCCTCTTGTTTTTGCCTTGTCACTGTGAAGTTGGTTTTAATAATTAAATCTTAATATAAAATAATTAAATAATAAGTAAAAGGAAGATAGGGTGCTGGACTTGAACTCCGAATACTGTTGTTCAGAGTGGGTTTGCTTTAAATTACCAAAAAGAATAATTGATTTAAACCAAATTATCCAAAAAGCTAAAACTGACTTTGCTTAAAGTGCACTTAATTTTGGAGTAAGCCCCATTGACCTGACTGGCACTTCTGTTGTTTTTTCGAGAAAACAAGTACAGCATGGAGTTCCCTGGAAAAGCTGAGTTATGCTGAAGTAAAATAGGAAATAGATTTATGGCATCACCATTATAGTCTGTGGCCATGATGTTCCAAAAGGAGCATATATTATATAATATAAAATAAGAAAATGACACTCAGTGGCAACTATATCAACTCTAGGTTTCTCATACTGAAGCTTTCTGAATTGTATATTTGAGTGACAGATTCTACATTAGTTAACTAATTAGCTAATCCTTCTGACTTGTTTAATCTAAACTTTATTTCTAGCAACATTCAACATAGCAAACAGCTTGAGAACTTACTTGTGAAATCACTCTTATACTAAAAGGCATAGAGAGAGTCTTGAAGAATGACGCATTGCAAAGTGAATTATTTATTTAAGTTACTAACCTGTTGATCTACTCAGCCACATCCACATCATTTTTTCTCAATAAGCAATGTTCCTTATGATGATTCATTCTTGCAACTAGGCCCTGCATCATTTTCTTATACTTGACACGTTTTCCTTTTTTACGCAGGGAATGGATTTTTCCAAAATATTCTCTCTTGCCCAGAGGCCATGACAGTTTTTCTGTGGCAAAAATGTAGGAGACTATAGGAATCTGAGTGTGTGTATGCTGACTGTCTTCCCTTTTTCTTTCTAGTCCACTCCACTGTTCGGCTGTGTCTACACTGGGCCACTTATTCCGGAAAATCAGCTGCTTTTCCGGAATAAGCTGCGAGCTGTCTACACTGGCCCTTGAATTTCCGGAAAAGCAACGATGCTCTACTGTACAAAATCAGCCGCTATTCCAGAAAAACTATTCTGCTCCCGCTCGGGCATAAGTCCTTATTCCGGAACACTGTTCCGGAAAAGGGCCAGTGTAGACAGCCCAGTAGTCTTTTCCAGAAAAAAGCCCCGATCACGAAAATGGCGATCGGGGCTCTTTTCCGGAAAAGCGCGTCTACATTGGCCACAGACGCTTTTCCGGAAAAAGGGCTTTTCCGGAAAAGCAGCCTGCCAATGTAGACGCTCTTTTTCCGGAAATACTTATAACGAAAACCATTCTGTTTTAAGCATTTCTGAAAATTCATGCCAGTGTAGACACAGCCTTCCTTTTTATGTTGCCTCCATCCATCCCTATACATTGTGTCTCTGTCTTTAAGACAGTGTCTTAACTAACTCCATGGTTGGCTAATGTCTACCAACACATAAGCACAGTACAAAAACAATCTTTTCCAACCTGTGTCTTCTTTTGCACGTGTTACTTTTTAGTCTGCTAAGAAACAGAAATTGAAAGCCCAGAAATTTCAAGAGGTAAAAGCTAGTAGTTAGGCTGGACAGACTACAGCCATTAACTCATTTTTATGAGACTGTAAGTGTATGTGTAGCATGTTTGTCATGAGATGTTAATTGTAGTTCATTAACAAGTTGTAATGTCTCAATCATACTAATCTAAAAAACCAATAGCAAGTTAATATGCTGCTATATTTCATTGCAGTATGTGTGCTGAGTCTTATTAGAATTGCATTTTTTGTTCAACAGAGGTCACCTCTTGCAACAAGAAGTGGAATATTGGGTCTTAATTGGAGAATCAAGTAGAAAACACCCTACCATTCACTGTAAAAAGTAAGTCCATATACTTTTCTATGTCTTTTTTTTAAGTTCTAGAATATAGGTACTTAAAAATTCAGTTTCTTTTAAGAATTGCCCTCTCCAGTCAGGAAAGCACTGCCCCACTGCCATTGGCCATGATTTCCAGCCAATGGGATTGATGGGAGTGCAGCCTACCTGGATTTGTAGCTTCCATAACTCATGGAGTACTCAATATTTTTACAATAGTCAGAGCTTTAGTGACTGTTTTGATTTTTTTCATATTATACTAGATCTGAGTTACTAATTCTGTAATCAAATCTACAACATGTTGACAGTGTTAGTTTGAGCATAGAGTGAGTACAAAGTACAGGAGATAAGGTTCCAATCCCAGATGTTTACGACCTAAATAGACAATCAAAAATCAGAAAATATGAAAAGAGACTTAGAAAAGGTGTTACTCAAAGCACTTTGTTTTTGTTCAGGAAATACCAGTGTCTTTGTTGTAACTAATTCACTGAACAGCTTCCTCAGTCTAGTCTCATGTGGTGCTGGATTTCTTTGAAACTGTACCAGATTCTAGAGGGAGGAAACAGCTTTTCTCCAAAAAAATCAGCATTTCTGAGAGATCGGTTTCCCTCCAGAACATAGGAAATTTGAGTGTGACGGGGTGAATCTACCCCACACAATGGGGCAGAGAGTTGCCCTGGCCAAAAAAGCTCCACCCCCAGAGGGGTCATGGTATAAAAGCCCAGGGAGCCACTCAGTTGGGGCTGACCACCGGGAGGGGAAGGAGCACGGTCCAGAGCTCCTGTGCAGCCAGAGCTGCCTGAGGGACAGCAGTCACAACCACAGCCACCAGAGAAGCAGCCGCAGCAGCCGTCGCCCCAGCAACCCCTGGAGCAACAGCCGCCGCAACTGCAATCCCAGATGCCCCAGGATTGACAGCCCCAACGCAGGAGGCCGACTACTGGGGTGCGACCTGCCAAGCAACACTTGGGGAGTGGAGCAACTCGTCGGGAGTGGTAGAAAGTAGCCCAGAGTGGAGGATTGTCCTCCAGGAGCTTGGTGCGTATCAGTAGGAATCTCCGCTGAGCTGGCAGTGGAACTCACCTCTGCCTACAGGGCCTTGCGCTGGGACCTGGTGGAGTGGGAGGGCCCGGGTCCCCCTACCTCCCCACCCTACAACCGGGGGGGAGAGGGCTTACCCGATGACTAGGCCTCAGGGTCATAAATACCCTGTCAGAGGGGAATGTGTTCTTGGGGCCTAGACCTTAGGGCCATATGTACCCGGTGAGAGGGGTATCCCTTTGTAAACTGCGCCTACAGACTTTGTCTGCCCTTTGATTTGAGGCTGTAAGAACAAGAGCATGTGGATCCTAGGATAAAAACCAGATTAGAGAGGGAGAGGTTGGGAATAAGGACAGTAAAGGTGAGACATGGAGGTGTAAATATTTTTCTTTCCATGTTATTTTTTACTGTAAAGTGCTGTCCCAATTTTTTACTTATCTGCAGCTGTGTCACTCATTTTAGGCACCATCCTCCACTGCAGTGAATAATGGGAATTGGTTATTAAAGCTTAAAATGTTTATCACATCCCCAAGTCTTTAATATTGATTTTTTTTTCATGTGCTCATTCAAATCTTAGTTTGGTTATCACAGGAAATGATAACGTGCCTTTAACAATTGTGGAAATGAATTATTTGTGTATTTCCATAAATTATAGCAGCAGGGTTTTGTAATCTTTTCTACATGTTAGTCTATTTTATTTTGTAGGTGGGCAGATATTGTTACTGATCTGAACACTCAAAATCCAGAATACTTGGATATTCGGCACCTGGAAAGAGGTCTGCAGCATAGAAAAACAAAGAAGGTAATACTGACTTATTAAGATGGGTGAAAAAACTTTTACAGTAGTCTTCTCTTTCCCCAAGAAGCTTATTCAAACTTTGCTGCACTTAAGAATCTGTAGTTTTAACTTTTGATGAAATCTCCTACATGGTTAGAAGTTGAGAATTCAAATCCTATGGCTGCCATGCCTGGGAGAGTGAAAATTATTGGGGTAGGTCTATGGCTTATGTTATGCAGCACGTCAGCCTACATGATCATGGTGGTCTCTTCTGACCTTGAAATTTCTGAATCTGTTAATTATAACTCCTGCTGAGAAAAAATGCTATTGAAATTAAGAAAACCAGACAAAGATGCTAAAAGACAACACATTTTACTCAAATTTTTGGGAGCATAAAATTACCCCTTTCCTGATAGTGAAGCTGGATTTTATCTTCATGAAATAGTGATATATTTTTTTTAGTGAAGAAACAGACCCTGAGAATGTGTAGCCAACATACAACTCTTCTTCTTCCTCTAAGTGTGGCCACCATGCCACCCCACTTACAGTGGCAGATGACTTCAAACAATTTCAAGACCTCTTTAAAAGAATCACTCTAGGTTAGGACATCTCATTGGAGGATATCCAGGAAAACCAACATAAGCTGCTCAAAATCTTGCAATCATTCTCTTCCTCAATAAATGATGCAATTCTGGAACCTACTGAAGTGGTATGGCAGACAACTGGGCTGATAGAAAATAGCACATGCTGTCCAAGGGAATGGACTTTTTCTTTTCCCACCTACCACAAAACTAGTTGGTGTTTGAGGTGGCGAACCATCACTTCAAACGTCCCCAGTGCACATCCACACCTCGGACAAAGACTACAGGAGACTAGACCTCTGAGGATGGAAAGTCTACACCTTAACAATCCTAGGTGACTAACTACAATATCTTTCTAGCAGAATTTGACAATTATGGGACGTTATTAGCGTTTATGACTGGCTCTCTTGAAGATAAAAGAGCACAATTCAAGACATTGCTCACTGAGGGACCTATAATATCTAGGATTGCCCTATAGCAGGACTACTCAACATATGGGCCACATGCGGCCCGTGGTGCAGTTTCCAAGGTCAGAAGTTTACATGGGGCTCAACATGGAAGCCAAAACAAAAAAGTAGTCAATATAGTTGTCTTCTGTTGATATGCATTTTAGTAGTTAAATTCCTGGACTGTCATTGCTCATTAAAAGTGGTAAAATATGGGTGGAAATCGGGTAAATATTGTATTTTATTAATATCAGCAGAACTGACTTAAATGGGATCTGTGTGCTGTGTAGTCTTGCCTTAATTTTTGTATTCATGCCCGTCAGTGTTAAAGAAGCTATTTGCATATATATATGCAATCACACTTAAGTTGCAGCCCTTGGCATGTGCTGAGAGTATCATTGTGGCCCCTGGGGTTTCCAAAGTTGAGTAGTCCTGCCCTATAGGCTTCTCTGGAAGTTGTTGATAGGGCAGCATGCACTCCTGCCCCAACTATTGTGATGTGTAGATCATCTTGGCTCTTGTTTCCAGCCCCCCCCCCAAACAATCCACAAATTAAGTTAGAGGACCTCTCCATGTCAAAAATAAATTGTTTTAATCTAAGACCAATGAAATTCTCCACTCTCTGAAAGATGCATGTGTGACTCTTCACATACTGAGCATCTACACACCTCTTGCAAAGAGAAAGTGCTACTAGCCTTACCAGCATGCCAGAGGGATGCAGTTTACTCATCCATGGTCCAGACCACATGAGTCCAGAAGACAGATATAGACCTTCAAGGCAACAACCCTCATCACCTCAGCAAATGGCATCACAGCCACCACCTAACAATGTTTTTGAAAAGTTGATTGAAGGTTTGAACAACCTCCCCTCACATCAACACCACTTTGCCCTGTGGCCACTGAATGAGGCACTTCTGCTGTGCATGGGAGTGCACCATGAAGGATCATTGGGCCTTATAAAGCATAAGATTGGGTTATGCCATCCCCTTTATTTCTTGCCCCCTGCCATAACCCTTCTGGATGTGTCTAGATTACAGGGTTTTGTCGACAAAACTGGACTTTTGTTGACAAAACTATACCTGCGTCTACACTGCCACTGAATTCTGTCGACATAACGTCAACAGAACTCAGCAATTTTGGCGACGGCTGTAAACCTCATTCTACGAGGAATAACGCCTTTTGTCAACAGAGTTCTATCGACAGAAGGCGTTATTGCATCTACACTGTCCTTTGCATCTACACTGTCATGTCGATAAAGCGGCTTGCTTTGTCGACAGAACTGGATGTAGTCTAGACTCTCTTTGTCGACAGAAGCTGTTGACAAAAGCCTGTAGTCTAGACGTACCCCCTCTGTCCCTCTTCAGAGACCCTTCTCACAATCATTCCTAAGGCAGGAATTAGATCATCTATTGCACCAAGATGCTGTAGAACCAGTGCCTACACAATACAGAGAGAAGGGCTTCTATTCCCACTTTTTTGATCCAGGAGGAAAAAAAGGAAGATGGCAGCACATACTAAATCTAAAGAAACTCAACAGATTTGTATGGTCCCATAAATTCAAGATGGTCACATTAGGCACAATAAATCCAGCACTGGAATGTTGGAGTGGTTTTCAGTCCTTGACCTATAAGATGCGTATTTCCACATTACCATGAACCCAGCTCACAGATGATTCCTTCAATTCACAGTTGGACGTGACCGTTTCCAATACAGAATACTGGCCTTTGGACTGTTCACTTGACCGAAGGTTATTCTCCAAAACCCTTGTGGTCATAGCAACACACCTGCACAAGCAAGGGATCATACTCTTCCCATTCCTAGACAACCACTTCCTGAAAGGTCCAAATCAGGCAGAGACTGAAAAAATTACCTGAAAGGCCAAGAGAGGAAAAATCCTGCAAAATGCATGTAACTTGTAAATGGCACACATGGGGTAATCTCCAACACCGTGACAAAGAAATATCGCATTTAAAAAGTAAAATTTAGTTGAATCCTTTTTTTTTTCTTTCTTTTTTACTGCCTTGCCTTTACTATCCTAGGCACTGCCCACAGCTCAGTTGGACCTGCCTGTGGGTCTCCTTGTCTGGTCTCTCCCAGCTGCTTCCTGGAAAGTCTGCAGCCCAGCTGGGGCTGCCTAGGACTTTCTTTTCCCGCTTCTGACTGCCCCTCCCTTGTCCTCTGAATAGAAGAGCCTGGAGTTATCTGAGGAGGGGAGAGGGGATAGAGAGATGCCACTGCTACTCTTGAAGCAGCCCAGCAGCTACAGCTACGGGGGTTAGGGGTAGGCAGAGGTGACAGGGATGGGACGGGCCGTGCTATTCTCAAAACAGCCCAGCCGCTGGGGCTGTCTGGGCAAGAGTC